CCTTCTGGAAAACTTAAATATATCTTCCTGTCAGTTGATTCCTTCTCGCATGCCTGCTGGGTGACAGCACACACTGGGGAGAAGGCCAAACATGCAATCAGCCATATGCTTCAATGTTTCGCCACCCTTGGACTACCTGATCAAATTAAAACAGATAATGGCCCATGCTTTATAAACAAGCCCTTTTCAGAGTTCCTTCAAACATGGAAGATTTCACACTCCATGGGCATTCCTTATAACCCTAGGGGACAAGCCATTGTGGAAAGAGCCAATCAAACCTTAAAAATCCAATTACAAAACAAAAGGGGGAGTCCCTGCCTCCACATGATCAACTAAAAAAGGCCTTATTTACCTTAAATATTCTAAATTTTTCCAAAGAAGACAAGTATTTGTCCCCCTTCCAAAAACATTGGTCCTCATCTACAAGCTACAGCTCCATTCTGGTCAAATGGAGAGACCTGCTCACTGGAGCCTGGTGGGGACCACCACTTCTTACAGCGGGAAGAGGGTTTGGGTGTGTATTCCCTCAAAATGAAAAGAGACCTCTCTGGGTGCTGGTGAGGAATATTAAATATTTGCCCCAACAAGGGGACCATGATGATAACCCGTCCAGGGAGTGTTTCACCCCTGAGGATGGTTCCTCTCTTTCTCCCTCAGGGACAATAAAGGATGTGGACACTGTTACTCCTGACACACTTGGCTTTCTGCTCCCGTTCTAGCCACTTTCTGCCACCATGCCTCCCTTCCATGATGGACTGTAATTACCCTGGAACCTATGCTAAATAAACTTTTTCCTTTTATAAGCTCCCTTGGTCATGGTGTTTCTGTCACAGCAACAGAAAAGTAACTAATACATGAAGTAAAACAGACTCAAAAAAAAAATGAATGACATATATTCTCCCTCATATGAGGATCTTAGCACCAAATCCTTATAGGTGCATACCTATCTGATATAACTGCAGGAACCAGGATAATTAAAAGGAACCAGGGAGGTAAAGGGAAAGAAGAAACCTGAGAAAGAAGAGCAATAGGAGACATGTCATACAAAGGTAGAAAAGGATAAAATGGAGGTATTTAAATGGGAGGGGGAGGGAGGGTTATACAAGGAACTTCGGGGATAAAGTGAAAGGAGCTCAAGAGAGGTGGGACCGTAGGAGACTAGTATTATTAAGTGAGAAATGGGGAAAAGGGGGACACTTTAAATGGGGAAGTCATGGTACAGGGGTTAGACAGGGAGAGAGTAGAGATAAATAATGCCTAGGTAGTGTTAAAAAAAGAGAGGAAACCCTATTATTACAATAACATAACAACAAATTACATATACAATATCTCTAAATGAGTCCATGTGTCTAGCTAAAGGCTTACATAAGAAGAAACAGTGCTAGATGGGAGAAACCTTTCTTTAAGTTGTTAGGCAGGGTGGTCCAAGAGACACTCAAAATTGCACAGACTATTGCAACATCCCATGATTGCCTCCCAGACTCTACTGCTGAAGACAGAACATGCTTCGGATACAGATTTGGAGCAACAGAGCTGGAATTGACCTGGAAGCCACATTACCTGATGGCTAGATAGCTAGCCTTGTATAGGGCTTTGGAAAGCACTATACAAGGTGCTAAGAAAGAATTTCAATCAATGCTCCAACACCAGCTTCAAGACCAAATAACCACATCAGCGACCTGGGCAGTATATGACACTGGTTCAGTAGTGGCACTTTTATCTTGGGGGCAATCAACAGCTACATAACTGGACTAAAAGCCTACTAAATGGGAGAAAACTCATGTTTAGTACTGTAAACATTGCCAAATATACATGACTGGGGAGGTCAGAGATCTTAGAGAAAACTCCCAAAGTGTCAGATCCCTAGAATAATGTGATTTCTTACTATGTGCAAAATATGGGTCCTTATATTTGCAGACAAATATCCCAGTCACCACTCATCAAAGAAGCTTCTTTTCCACCAGGCAGAGAATATTACCACATTAGTACCACAACTGGTCACAAACAGATATTGTCTGTGAATTGCCCAAGTCTTAAGTGGCACATCTACAATGCAACCTCTATGTCTAAGGCTCACAGAACATAGAAGAAGTGGGTAAAGACAACAACAATGAATATCTCAATTCTCATTAATGAAGCCCTCTTCATTGCAACAGAGGGCCAGGGAGACAAAAGGTCAAAAATGGCCAAAGTGTAGAGACTAAGTCTATAGAGTGGTGGTCCTTGGACAGGACTCCTATATTACTCTACAACCACCCAGGGCTCAGGGACCATTGAAGAAGAGGGGGCAGAAAGATTACAAGAGCCAGGGAGGAAGTGCACAACCATATGGAAAGAGAGTCTTACAAGTTCCTGGGGCCCTGCTCATATGAATCTACAGCGATGGTGTCAGCATGCACAGGACCCACGCAAACTGAAAGAGACAAAAACTCAGCATAGAACTGGGGAAATGGACAGCTGACTCCAGTCTTAGCTGAAGAAATATTGTAACTGCTCGGTGAGGAAAAGCTGATCTTCCTAAAGTAAGAGATTCCAGAAAGGCTGACTAGACCTCAGTAGATGAGTTTGCACTGAGGGATGATCTGGGGACACTAACTTGACACAGTAGGTCTTAAGACAAATGATAGAATGTATGAATTCCAGGGGGGGGTGTATGGGAAGGTGCCAGTGGGGAAGGGGGTGTAAAGATGATTATGATTGAGATGTTATGTATGAAATACACAAAAATTCGATTTAAAAAAGTGAAAAAAAGGAAGAAAGAAAGAAAAAGACTGGAGGGTTACAAGCACTGATTGCTCTTGCAGAGGACCTGGCATTTCATTCCTAGCACCCACATGTGGGCTGTAACTCCAGTTCCAGGGGATTCATTGCTCACTTCTGCCACCATTGCGTGACATGAATGCAGTTACATACACGCAGGCAATAAACTCATACACATAAAAATAAGATTTTTTTGTTAAAAAAAAAGAGGTGGGGACCTCTACCTTGTACTCATGTATGGGCACGTGCTCAGAAATCCGTACCGTGAAGGGATTTCTGGGTGATTTATGTCTCCCACACCCCTAGGTGTCCATCAAGGAGAAAGTCAGGGAAGGGTGTAGCATGTGTGGGTTGATATTCTTGAGATTTAATCCAACTGTTAGAACAACAAAAGAACAACAGGGTGTGGAGTGATGGTAGAAGATGATACCCTAAATTGACCTCTGGACTCCACAGTCACATACACACAGAAATCCATGCTTGCACATGCACTGATATATTAACCATACCAAGAAGGGATTTCTGGGTGCTTTACATCTCCAAACCCCCTAGATGCTCATCAAGGAAAAAGCCAGAGAATGGGGCGGGGAGTGGAAACTCTTAAGATTTAAACCCACTTTGTCTCAAAAAACACTAGGTAGGCAGCAATGGAGGAAAACACCCCATGGTGACCTATGGCCTACACAGTTACGTGCAGACACATGTACACAGGCACTGGCACAGGCAGGCAAACCATAAAGGGTACATTTAGGGACACCTGAGCTTTCCCAACCCTCCAGCTGCTCAGCAAGGAGAAAGCCAGGTTAGAGTGCAGGGTGCGGGGGTGGAGACTCTTGAGATTGAATCCAAGACTGTGGGGTGCTTCTCCAGCTTCCACTTGCAAGGGGGCAAAAGCAGAATCACGGGGTTCAGTGATGGGGAAACTGAGGAACAGAGAGGCTACGTAACATGCCACCAGGGTTCATGGAAATGGGCTTCAATAAAGGTCTGAGCCAAGATGCCTGGCAAAGCTCAGAAGAGAACCTGCTGAAGAAAGCAAAGTGTTAGAGTATTTTTTTTTATTTAAAAAATTTTAAAGCATTTCAAACACTTGTTCATTTTTCTCAGTGCAAAAGAAGGTTATTCAAATCAACTTACCTTTTTCCCTGAAGAGTAAGGGGAAGGAAAGGGGAAAACAAACAGAAAATACCATCTATTACAACTCCTAACACTACCTTCTTAATGGACTTTTGTAATCAACACTTAGGTCCCTGGATTAGTTTTCCAAAACTAAAGCCTGTGATTATGATTCAGCCCTTGCTTCATATGAATGACTTTTATGCTGAAAAGTAGAAAAAAGTTAGCAGTGCAAGAAGTGGTTTAGATCTGCTTTAAATTCCATCCATTCGATAGTGTGTGGAAAGAAAAAAAAAGCACCATTTCAAGATGAACTGATATAGACATTGTGGAATTTATTTGTAGGCCAGGCAGTAAGTTATTTTGACTAACACAGCTCAATAACACCATGGCTTGGTGACCTGGATAATTAATTAGATTGTAGGTGAATTTTTCTTTATCCTGGTATTGAAAACACTATCTAAATCAGTAATTCAGGTTAAAAAAAAAAGAGAGAACAATTTACAGTCTACTTCATAGTCTTATTTCAAATTAAACTGTCTGCTAGTTTAACCGAAGATGGGCTTTTAACAAAGAAGAGTTCCTGTAATTTGGCAGGTCTTTTCTTTCAGATAAAAACGAGATTTTTTTTTTAGCTTGCCAATTTTCTATGTGAAAACCATGAGATGCATAAACTAATTTAAACTACAAAGATGGACAAAAAGCACTAGATAATGTTCTTCCACTTGCATTCAGTGATGATTTTGGCAAGACTCTCGTTGGTCATTCTGAGTCTTCTTCCTATAAATAAGGCAGTGCTTTTCAATAACCAGAGAGGACCATGACGCTGTCTTCAACCCCCTGGCGTGTGCAGAGATCTGTGCGCCTGTTTCTCAAGGCTACATCTGGTTGAGGCACAAACGTGGGGAAGACCCTCCTCAAAGTAACAATAGGATGGATGTCCAAGCTCCCTGTGCTCGACCAGAGAGGTTTCTTGGCCCTGAGATGCGGCGCGCCTGCGCAGTGGGCCCCTGGTGCTGCTTGCTGTGGGAGCCCGGAGACCCCCGCCTCCTCCACCCCTCGCCCTCCTCCGGAGCGCGCACGCGAACGGGGACGCGCACGCGCCTCACCTCGCTCAACCCGGGCCAGGGCTGCTGAGCAAGCGCGCGAGCGAGGTAGTGGCGCGAGTGGTGCAGGGACACCTTGGGGGGTTTGTGAGGAGGCGCGGGCTCAGGGCGGCGGAAGCGCGAGGCGCCTCCAAGCGGGCGTTGAGCTCGCAACTCTCAGCAGCGCCTGGCTGTGCGGACTGTCTGACGCGGCGTCTCGCCCTCGCCCCCGCCCCCCTCCCAGGTCTGCGTGTTCTCCCGGTGTTGCAGCTCGGCTCCGGCTTGGCTCCGGCTCGGCTCCGGCTCAGCTCAGCAACTCTGCAGCCGGCGCCCGGCCCTGCCTCTGCCCCAGCTCCTGGGCTGCGCGGCGGCCGCGCCTAGGATGAAGTGCAAGCCAAACCAGACGCGAACCTACGACCCCGAGGGCTTTAAGAAGCGGGCGGCGTGCCTGTGCTTCCGCAGCGAGCGTGAGGACGAGGTCCTGCTGGTGAGCAGCAGCAGGTACCCAGACCGCTGGATCGTGCCTGGCGGGGGCATGGAGCCCGAGGAGGAGCCGGACGGTGCGGCGGTGCGCGAGGTTTACGAGGAGGCGGGCGTCAAGGGGAAGTTGGGCCGGCTGCTGGGCGTCTTCGAGCAGAACCAGGACCGCAAGCACAGGACGTACGTGTTCGTGCTCACCGTCACCGAGCTGCTGGAGGATTGGGAAGACTCGGTCAGCATCGGGAGGAAGCGAGAGTGGTTCAAGATCGAAGATGCCATCAAGGTCCTCCAGTGCCACAAGCCCGTGCACGCCGAGTACCTGGAGAAACTGAAGCTGGGCGGCTCCCCGACTAATGGAAACTCCGCGGCCCTGTCCCTGCAGCCGGAGAGCGACCCTTAGTATGTACCGCTCCCGCCTGGACGCCTGGCTGTCGCCTCTCTTCCCATGCCGCCCGCCTGCCCATCAGCCCGCCCGCCTGCTTGCCCGCGCCTGCCTGCCAGGAGAGCACCTCTCCTGCCCTGTGTGGTCATGGGGGCAGGAGGGAGGCTTCTTTTGTTTCCTTGGCAGGCAGACCTCTGAATCACGCTTGCAAACTGCCGCGGTTGCCAGGTGGTGTTTGCAGACAATTTGCACGTTTTTCAGATGCTTTCAAACCGCTTCCTGGTGATATGGTAAAATGCTGTGACCAGACAGTGCAGCATGGAATTTCGTTGAAAGGTGCCTTAACTGCTAGCCCAGCTCTTGGAGGACTGGACCATTTCAATTGTTGGGGTGTGTGTGTGTGTGTGTGTGTGTGTGTGTGTGTGTGTGTGTGTTAAAGGAGAGGGACAGACAGGCAGACAGACTGTACTGCCTGCCCTGTGATGTTTTTGTTTGGTTGGTTTTTTTCTACATCCTTTGCAGACGTTTATACGTGAATGTGCGTGTGCGCTTTTGATGTCAGTCTTGTGATTTGTTTTGTAGTGGAGGCCTTTAAAGTCTCACCTGCTTGGTTGAGTGGGCATCTTTTTATCATCTTTTCTCCTTATTTTCTCATTACAGCCTTCACAGAGACTATGACTGAAGGATATCTTTCTACACATAACACCAACATTCTAAATGTATTCTCCAAATATGAATGGATAACAACACTAACTTAAGTATTTTATTATATATTAGCTTTTAAAAACGTGGTTACTGATAGAATTGAATATTATTTTTATAATGTTTGGCTGTCATATAAATATATCTAAATAAAATACATGCAGTCAAATATATTGATATTGTAAAAGAAATGAGTACAAAACACCTTTTCAAAATGATAGCTTTTATAAACCAAGGATGTAATTTCATAACCTAAATAATTCAAAATTATTGAATATGGTTGCTAGTAACTACCCAGCAATCTAAATCACCTGATAGGTATTTTCAGTAACCTCAGATTCTTCAAGAGTGTATTCTAAACCTAAGGAAACTGGGTTATTGCTTTATTTTTGTATTTTACACGGAAATATACCTCCATCTAAAGTTACCACTAGTATTTGGGAGTATTCTACAATGAAGTATTCTAGAGATAATGCACAATATTGTTTTTTACTTTTAAACTGCATTTGACTAATGTGAAAAGGAATGCTGATTCTAAGCAACTGATCAGTTGTCTGATAAATGTATTTACTTTATTCAGAAGCATTTGGATTGAGTTACAACAGCTTGCTAAGATTTTCTTTAGAATGCAGATTGTGTAATTTGCAAAACTTCGAGTGCTTTCACTTCCACATTGCAACCAAAAGAACATTACTGTTATCACACTTTAAATTCAAATCCATGTAGATCTTGTTCAATATAATTTCTGGGGTTAATTCTAGAAAAAATTAATCAAAAGCCCCTAATAGGCTTGCATTTTAACAAAGTAATCTCAAAAAGTTCAAATAAAAGAATTGACACAGAAATAAAGCAAATCATGTCTGTATCTTCCGTTCTTCAAAAGTTGGACAGGTGTGATTTTTCTCCTTACAGAATTTTTATTTAGTGCCTTTGAATTTTATTTGTTCAGTGCAGTAAAGCACAGGTCATACCATTCTCCCCAAAATTCAGTGCACTTAGGAAAGATAAAGGTAAGACTTAGACAAGATACAGAAATTTGTTTTCAGCATGTTAAAGGGCTGATTTTCCTCCACTGGCCTATGCTTATACTTTAAAAAGTTTGAGGAAGATATGCTGTATTCAAAGAAATTATGATATGGTTGATTCAGAAATATCATAATTTCCTGGAAACCTATGTTATGTTGATCAAATCCCTTCTTAAAAGAGTGAGGTATGCCTATAAATAACATGATGGTATGGTTTCATTTAAGTGAATTGTTGTAAACCTTTATTTAGAAGCATAAGTAAAACTTGAAGTTTATAACAAGAATAGGCAGCTTGTAAAAGAACAGCAAGCTTAGAAGCAGTTCTGGGACAAATAATTTAATGGGCTTTGGACATGGAGTTGCTTCTTTTCTCACTTCCCTTTAAATGGAGTTTATTTCTAAGAAAGAACAATGTCTCCCTCCATAGTTGTTTACTGGGAAAGGGTGGTGAAAGTGCTTAGAGCCTATATAATACTTACAGCTGGCCAGAACTTTTATGTTTTTAGAGTTCCTTTTGTGAAAGCACCATGCAAATCCAATGTTTTCAGCATCATTCTAGTATTGTAGTTATCTTCCTAACGTCTCCTGGTAGAATATGAACTCTTTGAGTACTAGGAGCGAACTTGAATCCTCCCCATAACTCCAGGCCCTAAAACAGTGACTAAAATTTGGAGACATTTGTCAGTGATTCACAGATTAGAAATGTCTACTACCAGTGAATTCCTGACCTTTTTTTTTGCTTCATAACATACCTGGGACAGTTTATTCCCTTAGATTCTGACCTGTGCTTACAGTAGAACTACATTGGGTAATTCACTGAGGGCTTTTTCAATATAAAGGGTTTGATAAACCCTAGTAGATCATAAGAAAATATTTGTTGTCTAAACTCTACAGGAATGGATAAACCAGTAAAACCTTATTAATCAGATTATCTTTTTTTAGGTGAATGGAATAAATGTTGTTCAGATTTACTTTGAAAGAATCAAGTGTATGAACCCAATGATGAATGGAATTTTGAAGCACAGGTGAGCTCTTTGACATCCCCAAGGACACAGCTCATCCTATGCTTTTGGACATTTCCTTCCTGTTATTAACATGGCTATTCTTCAGGTTATTGTGCTACCACTGTATCTTTACAGAATTCTATTTGGCACGTGTGACCTTTTTCTGCCTTTATGATTATGTGTCTGTATTTCCCATCAGATATGACATTGAATGCAAAGAAATTGCTTTCTTAGTCTTTATATCTGTCTCTCCCCCCTCTATATATATGTGCATATATAGCATATATATGACTTTATATATGGTAGATATCACTGAATATTTGTTTAAATAATATTTTGTAATGATATTGAATGGCAAAACATCCCTCTTCTAATCTCTCTAACATATATGTGGCTTTCGAATATCAGGTGTCACACAGTGATTGCAAGGCAGCTGGGAGATACTAGCAAAAATTCTTACACATATGTCTGTGTTATCCCAGACATTATGTACCTCCTACATTTGCCAAAATTTTGAACCTAAATTTGACTGTGCCTCTAGACATAATTCCTGCTCTATAGAAAACATAGGAAACAGAGGAACAAATTATATCAAGCAGATCTGATCAGCAGAATCCTGCCTTCAGGAAACTATAGGACAAATGATTGTTTCTTCAGTATATAAATTGCAAGGATGAAAGGAAAGGGTGGAAGATGAACCTATAAATTGAAAGATGCTTCAGAGACTTATCAATATGTACATGGATCTGACTTGGATCCTGATTTGATCAAACTGTAAAATGAATGAATTTATCAAACAACTGTAATATTTTAAACATTGACTTTGTATTTCATATTGATATAATGTGATTATGTAGGAAACAATTCTTATCTATGGTCAAATATTTATAATTAATATGGTATAATGTCTGGGATTCGTTTCAAAATAAGTCTAGATAGTAAATGCACTGGACATATTAAAACAAGATTGGCCTTTAAGATTATTGAAACTGAATGATGTTTGTTATATATGTTCATCTCTGCTTTTGTATGTTTGACATTTTCCATAATAAAACATTCATCAAAATCATTAGAAATATTGGAATCCTTCTAAGACTAATATATTTTTCTTATATATTAGAGAATGAGAAAAAAATTTAGATTGCTTTTTTGAAATGTTGGCCTAAGAGATCAAATGCCCAGAAATAGAAGGGGAGACATGCTCAGGGATAGCTAGTTCTACAGACCAATGCTTGGAGTTTTTCTTTTAATTTGTCCTATTAAAACAGAATAAATTAAATCATTATAGGTTATAGGTATAACCCATTGGAAAATGATGAGTTCTCAAATGCTGAGGAGAGGAGAGATTTCATACCAATGTAAAATCACATTCACACTAGTGTGAACAGTGTGAACTCAAGGAACAGGATCTCCAAGAAACCCATGTATAAAAATCCACATAATGCCATATCAATAGTTTCTTCAAGAATAAAACCCATCCAGCTGTGCAGGTGTTTGTTGCACATGTTGTATTTGAAGGTAGGTGAAGCAAGTAAATGAGAAGTTAAGATTCCTGACTTCAGTGAACCATTTTGCATTTCATAGGCTGCAGATTATCCTTCAGTTCTGGATTGTTGTAGAATTCTGTAAAAGTGAAGGTACAGGTCAGAATTAGAGAAGACGTACTCTTATCGACAGACCTGCAGTCTGTTCTGGCATTTGTGGGTTAAGAAGGAGCTAACAAAGTTCAAGCAGCAGTGTGGGGAGGGGGCTTTCAAGAAAGACAAATGAAGCTGCTGCTGCTACTTCTATTCCTGCTCACTTAAGTGTGTTCTAATCTCAAGAGCAAGCAGTTGACTCAAATCAGCTGCTATCTGGAAAAGGGAAGATGGAAGGCCATAGAGCCCTTCCCCCACTCACAGCTGGCTAGCAATTTCAGTCACAATGGCCCCCACTGAGAAGACACTATGATATACCTGAAAAAATCCATTGTCTTTCCCTGGAAGTGGTTTCCTAATTTGAGTCAACTGATTTGAGAAGATTATTATTATTATTATTTTTTTTTTTTGGTCTTTTTGAGACAGTGTATCCCTGTAGCCCCAGCGGTCTTAGAACTTGCTATGTAGACAAGCTGGCCTAGATCTCAGAGATCTGCCTGCCTTTGCCTCCTGAGTGCTGAGATCAAAGACATGTGCCACAATGCCTGGCTCAAGATTTTCTTTTTAATTGGAGGCAAAAGGACCCATGGGAAACTGTAGGTTATGGTAGTGGTAAAATAGTGCTTTGGAATGCAATAGGCCGTGACTCACACCTGCTTGACCAAGGACTGTTATGGTCTCTGCCAGGCTATTTCACCTCTCTTTTCTTCACTATTCCCATCTGTAAAATGGAGATATTTATAGCCCCTACCTTTGCAAACAACTGCTTCTGAGAAGCTCTTCATCTCCTTGAGTATGGTGTAGTGGTGTGGTAAGAACTATGACACAACAGAGCAGTATGAGTATGGCATAGTTCTTATCACACTTATGTTAAACTTATTAGCATGAATGTCTTTACCTTCTGAACTCTTAACATCTCTTGGTTCTGAGATGCAAACTGGGTTGCCCCTACGTCACAGAGTCTGGAATATGGCACTCATGTCCCCATAAAATGTTTATTATATTAATGATTATTTCGGTACTACTTGTTAAAGAAAAAAAACAATAAGAAAAACAAATCCTCACTGTTACTTTACCAGGTATATGCTTCCTAGAAAATATGAACAATGAGATACCATAAGACTGTGACTTTTGCTCACATTTCTCTTTATTCAGGAAGATATTTTATCTATAAATGGTGTTTTTACTTTTTCCAGTCCTCCATTACTAATGTATTACTAACTTCTTAGTTTCATAACATTATGTGGTTTTCATTAGGTACACCTGCTTCATATAATAACTCAGTGAAGGCTTCCCAAATGCAAATAATTAAAGGAGATGGCAAGCCCTCAGTATTTAGTTAGCCTAAGAGTTGAAGAATGGATGCAAGTATCCTAGTTATATTAATTTAGTTTATGATTCAGAGACACAGTAATTAGAATATGTAGTAACAAACTCATACATACAGTGTCAAGGTCTGACTGATTTCACACAGGAGCCACTTTGAGCTTTAATCAGTTTAGGACTATTGTTGACACTGCAAAAGAATGAGCCACAGGGGCCAGCTTCATAAGTCATTGTCCTATGTACCCTAAAAGACAAAGAACAAAAGGATGATGACTATAATATATGTTGCAGGATACTCTTCTATAGAGAAGCCAGATCTGAGCTACAGTGGAGTGGTTTTATATTTGTGGCTCTGTTCTGAAGGGGGTAGGACAGGAAGCCCCATGCCACATCAGAAACTTGTAGCTGATGAGAAACTGATTCATGACTGTCTCCCCAGGGAGACAGGGAAGTCACTGGTGGATGTCTTTATACCAGCTCCTTACAGCTTTCTATCTTATGTTCTGGGAGGATCATTAGGCACTTAAGATTCTGATTAGTTCCAATGGCAATGATAGGCCATCTGTGATGGCCATTTTGAAGATACAGGATAGACCCCAACACAAATTTGGTTCAGATAACAGGGCTGATGATCATCACAGCCATATGAACAGGACATTTAGAAATTAATTAAACAAAGGCTTTGTTTTTTGGCAGTGAAGGGTAAATCTTTACACCTGAACAAGGAAAAGGAGACACCTGGAGTTTTTATTGTGGTTTATACTGTGGAGCCAGAGTAAGGGTTCTTTCTCATGCCCAGCTGGCAGCTTGCATGGTATGAAACTCTTGGTCATTGAAGGAAAGAGCACCCAGGGTCTTTCCTAGCTTGCCCACATGTAGGGATGAAGCAGAAGAGAGAGGGAAGAGCCTGAAATGCTGTCAATAGTCAAACATGTTAAACAGTTGATTATAATTTGCCCTTTGTTTGGATAGGTAAAATATTTGAAAAGGACCATGTATCCTTAATTAGATCTGGATAATATTAAATGTAGGATTATGGAACTCTCTGAATTTTATAGCCTAGGATCTGTTAGGATGGAGAAAGTTTCATTAATCTCATTGGTAGAGAGTGTGTGCCCAGCATGTTTAACACCCTGCATTCAATTCCCAACATTACAAACAAACTCTCGTTCTAGAGATCAGCATTATATATTCAGACAAAGGGAAATTAATTCTTTGATCTCGGTCAACAATGTCTAGAACTCTGAAGACAAAAAGGAATGTCTTGATTTGTCCTTGATTTGTAACCAGGCCACCCACTGCCCTAGCTACAATGTATAACCTAACTGTTTAGATCCTTGGGTTCAGTCTTTTTCAGGGACATCTGTTTAAGTGATGACATGTAGTAATAATACACTGAATACCATCCTGTGGGAGTATGAGTGTTCATAAAGTGCACAAAGTCCTTTGCCAAATTCAGTATTGGATAGTGGGATTGGGAAAGAGGGAATTTCATCCAGCACTGAATCTGGCAAATGATTAAACAAGGGACTCCATTTCCAGCTACAAGTTTAATATGTCAGAGCCCCCCCCGCCCCCCAGATTAGCCCCATCCTGTAGGTAACAAAATAGTTTGATGGCTATTGTGACTTGATAGGGTGCCAATTCCAGGATCCAACTAAGAATGAAAATGAAGGATCTATGAGAACCTCTTTCCAGGAGCCACCCACCAATGTGATGCCAACAATAGTCCCTCTAAAGACATATACCATGAGGTCTAGTAGGGCAGATTTTTGCAGCAGATGATAGTGGGCAGTAATGGCCCTCCTGGTCCAAAGACCAAAGGAGGTATGAGAGGAAGTTGCTAATGCCTCTCTGGTGGAGAAGTCTCTAGCAGCAGGGGCATTAAGAGCATCTATATTTTTGTATTTGAAAATTTCTAGAGCCTTCGGTTGGGATGAACTTTGCAAGTAATGACATGAGAGAGCAAGATTTATAAGTGAAGAATATGTTGGCTATGGAACTTAAAAAAGACCTAAAAGATGCTAGATTTAAATGTTATGGATGCTAAAAGTGGGTTTTGTTGTTGTGGGTTTATTTTTCCACTGCACCAGGGGAAAAGTAGCATTAAGTTTACCAAATAATTCAGAAATTTAAATAAGGTAGTGATGCCTTGTGTAATGTGTAGAGCAGTGGTCTTTCCCTCTTTTTATGAGCTACTCTTTGAGTATTTATACAATAAGTTCTTCATATCCATGGGTTCTGTTTCCAATTTTTAATGACCACACTTGTACTGAACATGTACAAATGTTATTCTTTTCATTATTCCCTAAACAACATAGTATAAGAATTATTTATATAACATTTAGAGATGACTAAAAAAATAGAGGAGGATAGTGGAGGTTATATCCAAATAACATCATTTTTTTACAAGGAATTTGAGCATATGAAGATTGTGGTACTTGGGAAAGCAGATATTGTGGAACCAATTCCACATGGATACTGAGGGATAGCACAGTGTTCCAAGTATTTCTACAGAATCCTTTTAAAAGTGGGTGCCATCAGTGTAGTGTTGTTATGTCTGTGCTCCCGGAGAAATTCAAATGCAATTAAGGTCTTGCCTACAAAGGTTACTCAAGGAAGAAGAGTTGTTGAGCTACTATCTGGGTATCTAGGAAATGTATAGCCTCTCCCTTTGGAGGAGAAAGAAAACTGTGGCCAAGGAGCTGTTGAAATGGGCATTCAATAAATTATATTAACCAGATCTGTACTAGGAAGCATTTATCAGTCACCAGTTGGATGGAGTCAATAACTTCCATAGTATAATATTAATCCCAGGGGTATTAATGGATGAGACCATGGCATTAAGGCTAGAGTAATTCCTCATTATCAACTATCTTTTGTCCTAAAGGACACTGAAATCTTAAAGGCTGCCAAGAGGAGGGGGTTAAAAATGGGAATACCTGTCAGGAATAGGTAAAGCCAATGCTCCCTGTAAGTATGGCTTCTTTCACCATAAGACTAATGGTCAACTTTTGTAGTAGTTATAGTTTTTCTATGAGGAACATAGAATATACCAGTTTTTCTATAAGTATCAGGGGATTTAG